CTGAGTGCAGGTGAAATATGTCTTGGCTCTTATTTTCTTTAAATCATTCTGTTTGCTTTGAGAGCAACTCAGGGGTTTTTCTCCAGTTTTGACATTATTTTTCACCTCAACTTCACTCAGTTCTTCACTCTCCTTGTTTTTTTTCAATCATCTCTGAAATAAAAGTAAGAATGGTTTATTTTCAGAAAAGTGAATCTAAATCTATAATAATAAAATAAATAATTTATGATTATTTTACTTTCTTTTATGTAAAGCACTTTGAATTACCATTAAAAAAAACATATACCACCGCACCGTGTTTCTTCAGGACAAATGCACAATGAAACTGTTAAATGCACTGATCTGTGAAACTCTTCCTACATCAATCACATGTGAATGGCTTCTCTCTAGTGTGGATGTTCATCTGTGGTCTTTTGTGTTTTGCAGAGTCAATGAAAGTCTTTCCACACTGATTACACATGAACGGAGAGTGAATGTGCATTTACTGCTGTTTTTTTCTTTTCTTTTTTCAATGGTTTGACCAGACAAATCTCATGTGAAAATCAGACTGCATTTTTGCTCTGGACAGTCGTGCTGGTGTGAACAGGAGTTAACAGATACCAATCAACCAACATCCTGTCGCTCATCATGACTGTTAGGAAACAAATTGGTTTAACCACTAAGTGGTTTCTCCACTGCATGGATCTTCATGTGTAGCTTTAGGTGACTTTTATAAGCAAAACTGTTTCCGCACTGATTGCACGTGTGCGGCTTCTCTCTGCTGTGGATCCTCTCATGTGTTTTCAGATTTCCTAACACATTGAATCTCTTGTCACAGTGTGAACACTTGTAAGGTTTTTCTCCAGTGTGAATCCTCTCGTGCAGTTTTAACTGATTCGCTGAAATGAAAGTCTTTTCACACTGAAAGCACATATAATCTCTCACACCAGTATGAATTTTCTGATGTTTTTTTAAACTTTGCCGCAGAGAAAAACTCTTTCCACATTCAGAACATGAATGCTGCTTCTCCTTTGTATGAACGGTCAGGTGTTTCTTCAGGTTTGATGCCCAGACAAATGTTTTTCCACATTGCTCACAGGTGAACGGCTTCTCTCCGGTGTGGATTCTCATGTGATGTTTAAGATTTTTTTTAATTGAGAATCTCTTTTCACACTGTTCACACATGAACGGCTTCTCTCCAGTGTGGATCCTCATGTGAAGCTCAAGACTTGCTTTGATTCTGAATCTCTTCCCACATTGATCACATGCATATGGCTTCTCTCCAGTGTGGATTCTCATGTGAAATTGAAGTCTAGTTTTAATTGAGAATCTCTTTTCACACTGATCACACACAAACGGCTTCTCTCCTGTGTGGATCCTCGTGTGAATCTTAAGGTACGCTGAATCCGTAAAACTCTTCCCACATTGATCACATGCGTAAGGCTTTTCTCCAGTGTGGATCCTCATGTGTTTCTTAAGGTCTGTTTTTTCTTTGAAACTATTCCCGCACTGATCACACGTGAACGGCTTCTCTCCAGTGTGGATTTTCATGTGTCTTTTATGTTTTGAAGAGTCCACAAAACTCTTTCCACACTGATCACACATGAACGGCTTCACTCCAGTGTGAACTGTCATGTGATGCTCAAGATTTTGTTTGTGTGAGAATGTCTTTTCACAGTGATCACACATGAACGGCTTCTCTCCAGTGTGGATCCTCATGTGACTCTTAAGGTGTGATGAATTCGTGAAGCTCTTCCCACATTTATCGCATGGGTATGGTTTCTCTCCAGTGTGGATCCTCATGTGCTGCCTAAGATGTATTTTTTGTGTGAAACTCTTCCCGCAATTGTCGCAGGTGAATGGCTTCTCTCCAGTGTGAATTCTCATGTGAATCTCAAGAGTTGTTTCGCGTGAGAATCTCTTCCTGCACTGATCACATGCACACGGCTTCTCTCCAGTGTGGATTCTCATGTGGTTTTTAAGTTGTACTTTTTCTGTGAAACTTTTCCCACACTGATCACATGCATACGGCTTCTCTCCGGTGTGAATTCTCATGTGTTTTTTAAGGTTTGATGATTGTGAGAAACTCTTCCCGCACTGATCACAAGTGAACGGTTTCTCTCCAGTATGAACTCTCATGTGATCATCAAGACTTTTTTTGCGATACTCATGTGCTGCCTAAGATGTATTTTTTGTGTGAAACTCTTCCCGCAATTGTCGCAGGTGAATGGCTTCTCTCCAGTGTGAATTCTCATGTGAATCTCAAGAGTTGTTTCGCGTGAGAATCTCTTCCTGCACTGATCACATGCACACGGCTTCTCTCCAGTGTGGATTCTCATGTGGTTTTTAAGTTGTACTTTTTCTGTGAAACTTTTCCCACACTGATCACATGCATACGGCTTCTCTCCGGTGTGAATTCTCATGTGTCTCTTAAGGTTTGATGATTGTGAGAAACTCTTCCCGCACTGATCACACATGTATGGTTTCTCTCCAGTATGAACTCTCATGTGATCATCAAGACTTTTTTGATGAAAAAAAGAGTGCAGGTGAAAGATTTTTTGGCTCTTTTCTTTAAATATTTCTGTTTGGTTTGAGAGCAGCTCAAAGGTTTTTTACTTTTGACATGTTTTTTCTCCTCATATTCACTCAGTTCTTGATTATCCTTGTTTTCTTCAATCAATTCTGAAATAAAAATAAAAATGGTTAATTTTCAGTAACTCTCAGTAAACCTGATGAACCCTGATGTAACAGTTTAAAGTAGACAACTGTTATACAGAATGTTGGTAATTTTGATGTAATTTTATAAATTGTAAGTCCCTGAAACTTTCCATGAATGAGGTACCTTGATCTTCAAATTATTATTTTTAATACATAATCTCAAATCCCATTTTCTATAGGGATAACTATAGATATGTATGATTAACTACACAATTATCCAACATAAATTTTACTGAAAAAGTACCCTATTACCTATGTGTTTGTTGTGGGAGGAGCTTCATTGATGAATTGCAATGTGGGAGGAGCTGATCTGCAAAAATAAAAAATATATCACTGAGTTACTGAATTCATTTTTATACTAATGCATAACAGAATAAAAATAATGTAGTACTAATTCTTCTAGATAGGCTATAAATAATGGTAAGACAAACAAGTAAGACAAAAAGTTAAAAGCATAAAAATAGAAATAAATCTACAGATTTGTAACCAACAAATGCCCTCAGTCTGTTGACACCAATGAAATGAGCTTTAATTGGTATCAGGAGATCTAAAGACATCAGCATAATAAATGAGGTGAAAACAGGAGCTATTAACATGAAGTAAAGAGTCTTTTCAGCAGCTCTGTTAATATTGATGAGCCTCAGACGATCAACACTCATTCAACAAGACATTCAGATCATCAGCAGATCATCTCTCTTTATTCTCAGTGTTTGCTGATAGAAATAGGGGTGTAAGAAAATATTAATATTTTGTTTGGTGATACTGTATCGACTCTAAACAGAATATTGATATAAAACAAATAAAAAATTATACAAGATTCATGGCAGTTGTTTAATTTAAGCCTGCAGCTTTC